TAGAACGCCAATCGACACGGCAAAGAAAAGATAGAAAATTAAGATCTTTTTACAAACTCTGATTAAAAAAAGTACCTTTAAGGGCTTTTAAAAACATAAATAAAAAATTAGCACCTTTAAGCACTTTTTAAAAACGCTACGCACCCTAAGGTATGAGACCTGATTATAGTTTGAGGCAGTTAAGAAGTTGAAAAATAAATTAAGCATATGAAAACAATATTCTTAAAATATATACCACAAAATTAATTTAATATGCTTGATCATTTTTCAGAAAAATTCAAATTTAGACAGTCAAACTTATATTTACCAATGACAGTTGGTTCAGTTAACCAAACAAGTTCGGGGGGCAAAACTTCAGGCACACCACCAACACTAATGCTCACAACTTGAAGTCTAAATAAGGNAAGTCTAAATAAGATAAATTATAGGTATGAAATGATATAATATAACAATCGCTAAACAATTTGCAACATAAATTGTTGGAATTTGATTAATTAAAATATATAGTTTAACCCTTAATAAGACTAATACATCCCACAAACTTCATCAGTTTTTAAATATCATAGGGAACCTATTTTCCTCTCTACTCCCTGTGGTTTCAGTTTTAATTATTTTCAAGAGATATTCGCGATATTGTCTAAGTTATTGAACAGGGTTGCCACTTGATTTTGGAAGAAAAAAATTCCCCTTGTTTTCCCTGTATGTGTCATACACAATATATTAAGAGGAGACACAATTAGTGTTTTCTTGTGTGAGCTATATTGGGCTAACTATACTAGTTTTAATTGCTAGAAAAACTTAAAGTAAAAAAGAAACAGCTGAACTTAAATAATGCTATAGTGAGTGAAATAGTTAAAATAGCTGAAATATCTTCACTAAAGATTCCAGAGTTCCACTTTGAATGGTCACCATTTTTTTAAAAGACAAAAATAAAAAACGAATTCCCTGTATTTTTACAGTTTGTAAAGAAAAGCTCAAAAATTCCTTCCATTTCCCCTGTATATTTTGGTGATTTTTAAATTCCTGTATTTTCCAGGTTTTCCTTTTTCTAAGTGTAGTGGCAACCCAGTTGAATTTCATGATATGCGTTGAATTTTAATAATAATTTAGAATCTGTCTGGCAGCCATAAAATAAAACAAACACCCATAAGTATAAATTCAGGACATTTCCATACAATAGGCAGCAAAAGTATTAAAATTATTTCCATCTCTGTCGTGAGATACGAAAGAAAACTCATCCCAAAATCTCTTTTATGTGCTTTACGAACCAAGCTAACCTTAACTTTCTGGTATAACATATATACATGCTATTGCTTGAAAAGCAAGCTTTGTCACCAATACTTGATATGACAGTATGCTGTCCAATAGCACCATATGTTTAAAATTTCTGCTGCTATTTCAAAAAGGATAAAAAATAAATCTAAATAATNGCAGTAAAATATTAAATACCCACAACAAGCTGCTTCTAAAATTGCAATACAAAATGCTTCTGTAAGTGATGCATTCAGGTAGATACCACCCTTTACAAGAACCTAAACAGAGATTACTATTTTTTTTAATTCATTTTGCAGTCATAAAAAACATAACTCAAAATTGATAATACTATCTGAGATTAGTATATAAAGATTCAAAATTTTGAAAAGATAGGAGCCATTTTCAGAAACCAATATATGGCAAAATAGAAAGTAGTCTAACAGATTTTACGTAACAGCATAAAAAAAATTAGAGTTACAGTTTTCGCATAACAGCATAAAGAAAACTACAATTTTTATCAAAAAATGTCAGATGTATGTTATAGAGTTTTAATGCACAGAAAATCAGTATTTCGACTTACATACTATGAAGTGTCAAATATGGCAANTACAGTTTTCGCATAACAGCATAAAGAAAATTACAATTTTTATCAAAAAATGTCAGATGTATGTTATAGAGTTTTAATGCACAGAAAATCAGTATTTCGACTTACGTAATATGAAGTGTCAAATACGGCAAAAAAAATCATAGAGCGGGTGCAAAAAATATGTTATAGTTCATTCTCTTGAATATGTAATTTTTCTGCAATGTAATGTAATTTTTTTAAACCCTTTATTTTTTAAAAAATTTTCAATAAAATTTTCAATCAAAAAATTAAACTTTTACTTTCAAAATTGAAATTTTAGAGACTTTTTAATCAAAAAAATTTCTTATAGAAATAATTAAATCAACAATTAAAAAAGTAAACCTAAGTTAGAATCAGGGCTTGAAAAAACTCAGAAATTTTACCCGTCCCCTAGGACGGCTTGTTCAACAATGTACATGTCCTCCTTTGAAACTAACCCGTAGCTTCTAAATAAATAAAAATATAATTTTCTCTTATTTATTATAAACATTTACATAATTGCACAATGAATTAGTAGTTACTAGGATTACATTATTCAGTAATAAAAGAATTAACGGGATTTCTAGATTAGAGGAGATTAGAGGGTCATTTTAGAAGTGAGGCGCTCGACTCTTGTCAGAAAACAAAAATTGAAAATGTCTCACAAACATTAGCGGGAAAATGCCCGTCGGATCCGAGAAATTTGTTGCCCGCGGGGAATTTTTGACGGCCGAGGACGGGTGGTTTTTCGAGCCCTGGTTAGAATGTGTACCATACCAGGCAATATAACAAAAAAGTTTAACAAAAATTGAATACAAAATAACAAAAAAGTTTAACAAAAATCAAATATTGCATCTATCACATCGAATTTAACCTTGCAAAAGAAAAAAAAACATACATTTGCAAAATGCATTTAAAGTTTTGCTAACAAATGTGACTACCTTAATGAACATAAACCACTCTAGAAACCAAACCACCAATCAGAATCAAGTTACATTTGTCATAATTTGAACATTATATGTAGAATAAAATAATTTAATATTTTGACTGAAATGAGCATATAACTTATTTTAATCAAAAATTAAATTATAAACTATAAACCATAATTAAAAAACTATAACATTAAAGAATAACTATAATAAAAGTCTTTGTGAGATAAACGGAAGAACATATTTACATCTCGGACATTTACATGCTTTACGGCTCCAAGAAGAGTCACTCTTTCTTGCAGTTGGCAATGTTCTCGAACTTCTTCTAAAACTATTCCTTCAGGACCATCCCCACCTGTAATAATTCAAAAAAAAAAAAAAAACTTAGTTGTATCAAAGTTTCTGCTCCAGTTTAGAACATTTTATTTCTCTAATTACAGACGCACTTTGATACTGATGATTTTACATAAAATAGTTTAACTCATTTTAAGCCAAGTATATACATTTTATAAAATGAATTATTTTCATTCAAATATGGTTACATTACATTCATTAAGAAACAAAATTTCGTGTATAAAAATTATATTTTATTCAAGAAATAAAATGGTGCGTATGAGCACCATTCACCAAATCAATGAACAAACCATTTCGGTGAACGTTTGTTTCCTTTTATGAAATTTATTTTACATTTTTCTTATTTTATTTAGTTGAACTGACTTTCAACTTTAATCCATCATAAAACATAATGACAAATCTTAAAAGGAATAATTATAAATTTTCAAAAATTTTTTTTCGTCAATAACGATTTTAAGTTTAAAAAAACTTGAATAGTTAAAAAATTTATATAATAACTTGAATAGTTAAAAAGTTAGGACATATTTGTCATGGATGTGGCCAATGGTTTCACTACATTTGGCTATAAAATTTAACNCAGAAAAATAAGATTAGTAAAAAATATATATCACAGTATTAATAAAAAATATTTATTGAAATGGTGCGTTTGCGCACCTTTGGACGAAAATGGGTTAATACATAACTCCAGTTTACAATACTTTGATGGTAAGTATTTGTTCTCCAAAACTAATTTAAAACCAAAATTTCAACAAAAAAATACAATAAAAAGTTACGACATCTTTGTCATGATGTGGCCAATGGTTTCACTACATTTGGCTATAAAATTTAGTGTCCTGTTTCATAGACATTAAGTTCATTGTAAATGTTTCATACCCTACTGCTGTACACAATTCAGAGAACTTGCTATAATTTTTCCTCAAAATATATTTAAAAAATGCAAAACTTACTTACTAAATAACTTACTTTAAGAAAACAAAAATATCGTAAATTACAAATGCAGTTCCAATAATGTTATTTGTATCCTTGTAAATTAAAATTGTATGGTTTGGGGCATTTTAAAGAATGGTTTTAGATATTTTCAACATTTGAATTTTGTCAAAAAACAGTTGAAGTACACACTACTTGCTTAGGAAGAGTTTTAGCAAAACAAACATTGTAAATAATTTTACTAATAGCAATTTTTTAAATCAAATTTGATGGCATGACAAAATTCATTGAAATTATTGAATAATGTGGGGCTATGAGTAGACGCCTAGGATAAAATAACTATTGTCAGGGGTCTGTCTAGGTTTTTTTGAAAGATACCTATTTTGTGAAAATTTAGACATAATTTGTGAAAAATTAAAAATTTTATTAAAAAATCAATACAAAAACATGGCTAAAATATAGATTTATCGTTTCTTAAGGGATACAAAAATAAAATTTTAAGAAAACGTATTTTGTGAAACTACCGTTTTTCCTAAAATTGAATTTGTGAAACTACCGTTTTACCTAAAATTGAATTTGTGAAGGTACCGCTAAACGGTAGTAAAATCGGCCTGGACAGACCCCTGATTGTGTATATAAAAAATTCAGATGAAAAGTATGATTGGTTCATGCATTCTCATTGGTCAAATAAATAATGTAGTATGAAATGCAGTTTTCAATTGTATGAAGAGTTATTTGATTGTCAACAGCATAAGACTAATAAAAGTTGGTAAATAAAATTAATAAAGGAATTATTTACCTACAAAATATATGTCTTTTCCTTAATTTAAAGATAGTTATAATGTAATATTTATTACTCATCCTTTCTTTTTTCTTCTTCTTCTTTTTTTTTTTGGTTTTTGATTATTATTTCATATTAGAGGCTGAAAACTGAAAAAGCTTCCTGAACCCATAGCCATTAACATGATTTGCAAAACAAAATAGTTACGATCAAATATTTAAAAAAAAAACTGAACTACATCAGTAATCATAACTGTTACTTTAGATAAAGATACATAACTGTTTCTCTAGAGCATGGCTGAAAAATATTTTAAAGATATTTTTTTCTTTCATATTTCTATTAATATTTGAGGCAGATCAAGGGTCAAGTTAATAAGGTCTCTTGGGCCAGTTTTGCCAGCCAGTCATAAGTTGTGAATCCTCCTGTTTTAAAATATGCAACAAAATGTTACATTATAACTCAATATGCATTTTTAACTCTTGTAACTTTCTAATTAATGCTTTCTTTTACTTTAAAAACTAAAAAAATAGTTTTATCCCTTTCTCTTTTTAAATATTTCCCCATAAGTCAAGCATCACTGGTTGCGGTCCGTAAATGGGTGGGTGACCAATTTGATCAGCCTGCGTAGGCCATGAGGATGGACGGTACGGATCCTTGTTAAACTGTTCTCCCGTAAAGAGCTCGACAGCACGCAGGTCGTTGTGCTACCAAAGCAAGGGAGCCATCCCCTCTGCAGAGGTTTAAAATTGCAATGGTATGTTTTTGGATCATCCTCAGAGATGTTTCCCAGACCGTCGCTAATAGACCATTGTGCAGCTCCAGTGCGACGTAAATAAAATACCCACCTAATATTTTTTAAAGAAATTTACATTGATATTTAGCAATAAATGTTAAATTAATTTTTTAATAAAAAATAGATTTTTTTTAAAAATAGATTTAAACTTTAATATAATTTAATAAACGTGTTTGTGTGTGTGTGTGCGTCTGCGCAGGTATGAAACCTGATTATAGTTTGAGGCTAACAGTTAAGAAGTTGAAAAATAAATTAAGCATATGAAAATAATAATATTCTTAAAATATAAACTGTATAATTAATTTTATATGCTTGATCATTTTTTTTAAATATTCAAATTTAGACAGTAAAACCTATATTTACCATTGACAGTTGGTTCAGTTAGCCAAACAAGTTCAGGGGGCAAAACTTCAGGCACACCACCAACACTGGTGCTTACAACTTGAAGTCTAAACAATGTAAATTATAAATATGAAATAATATAATATAGCAATGGTTAAAAAAATTTGAAACATAAATTGTTGGAAATTGATGAGTTAAAATAAATAGTTCAACCTTTTATCAGACTAATACATCTCACCAACTTCATTAGTTTTTAAATATCATCAGGAAACCCTTTTCCCAATCCACGGTTTAAACTGCCCTGCCCAAAAAACCTTATATCTAAAACTGTCCAAAACCCTTTTACTCAATTTATGCCACAATGTTCAAAAAATATTGTGTAAAATAAAAGGTTGGAACAAGAAACAGACAAGTTTTTGTTTTATTGAAAAAGATTATTATTATTTTATTATTGCATTTATTTGTCCTTATGCAAAACACATAATTTATCAGTATTAAAAGCATATTTATTCATATTTAAGGGATAAGGCATTCACATTTGTTGTTCAATGAATTATAGAGCTTCAAAAGTTATAAATATTTTCTTATTATATTATTTTCCTTTAATAAGTTAAAGCAAACTGTATAAAAAGTATCAAATATTTATTAATATATGTAATTATTATATGTACAATGGTTACACATAGAATTTTTACCTTTTACCACTGTTTAAGGTTTTAGGCACTTTAAGACAGTATAGGACAGTTTTAGTCAGTTTAAGATAGTAAAACCCATGCGTCATGTCCGAAACACCAATCATTTCAGTTTCAATTATTTTCAAGAGTTTTTCGCGATATTGTCTAAGTCAGGGGTGTCAAACTCGCGGCCCGCGGGCCACATGCTGCCCGAGATGAACATTTTTGCGGCTCAGTCAATATATCTGAAGCAAAGTAAAAATAAAATAGAAATATGAATTAGAAAGAAAACTAGCATATAAAATAATATACTTTATTTATAAACTATACGGATAATTTTAAATTGTACGTGCGAAAATACAAAATTGTAATTGGCTTGCGGCACCTGCCATTCCAGGGATACTGCATCATATCAAAAATACGCAGAAAAAATTTCAAATCTTAGAACAGAATTTGAAACAAGGTTTAAAGATTTTAATTCTTTGGAAGACAAATTTTGTTTGTTTTAGTCGATTTTCTCAATAAATATAGACTCAGTGCCCAGTAATATGCAAATGGAAGTGATTGAGATTCAATGCGACTCAAATTTGAAGGAAAAATTTATTGAAGTGGGTATGCCTGAATTTTACAAATATTTACCGGCAAGGTTTGAAAATACTCGAAAATTCGCATATGAAATTATTTCCACGTTTGGAAGTACTTATTCAGTGCGAGCAATTATTTTCTGTTATGAATGGACATAAATATCCTGTTCGAAACCGTATTAATAACGCTCACGTTGGGTCAATTTTGAAAGCAGTCACCGCCAATAAAATTTCTCCCGAAATAGGAAAGATAGTAGCAGAGAATAGATGTCAAGTTTAATACAATAATTTAACTTCATATATGTTTATTACAATGTATTATTTAAAATAAAATATTTGTTTCTATGAGCATTGATTTTTTTTGCGGCCCACCTAAAGTTAAGCTTTGTTTATTTGGCCCAAGTTAGCTTTTGAGTTTGACACCCCTGGTCAAAGTTATTGAATTTTATAAAATGCATTGAATTTTAATAACTTAAAATCTATTAAGCAATCATTAAATAACACAAAGCTCCATAAATATAAATTCATGATATTTCAGCACAGTAAGCAGCAAAAAGATTAAAATTATTTCCATCTCTGTTGTGAGATACAAAAGAAAACTCATCCCAAAGCTGTTTTTTGTGCTTTACTACTTCTTCACGGACCATAATTTAAATCTGGTATAATATATGTACATGCTTTTTGCTGGAAAAAGGCAAGCCCCGTCACCAATACTTGATATGACAGTATGAGCCCGATAGCACCATATATTTAAAATTTCTGCTGCCATTTGAAAAATGATTAAAAAAAATGAATCTCAATAATTACTTCGGAACTAAGTTTTTATTTCTATAAAAATACAAAATCATTCTGAATAAATACTAAACGTATAACTAAATCACCCTTCACAAGAACCTAAACAAAAAGTATTATTTTTTTAATTCATTTCACAGTAA